GGGAAGAAAGAAGGCCATACTCGAGCATGGTGAAGATTAATTAATATAGCCGAAAGTTCATTTAATTAAAAAAGTTCGCCATCGATCGATTCGAAGAGGAGCACGTAACGTTAGGTTGTCCACGCAAAACGTTAGATTACAACCAAACCATTTCATTTACATTTTATCAAACGCGAGGAACGTCGTTTCAACGAGGAAAAGAAATTGTTGCGAGTCGATAACGCGTCCAGATCAGGATCAGCGCGGAATAAAACGATTTTAACAAAAGTTAAAAAGTTCGAGGAACGAGATTATTTCTTTTCCTCACCACCGATCCAATTTCTCGCATGCAAACCGTGTCGATCGCAACGTTGGACACGAACGATATCGTGCATAAGCCGCTTTTTCAATTTACAACGCGTAATTGCACCCTAATTCAGCGCCCCAACTGCAGTAGAAGCAAACTTTCTTTTCGAGAGAACGAAACTTCTAATCGAGTAATTTCTCGTAATTTAAGGATAATCGAGTCGAAACGAGCGTTCCACTTGTCGACTCGATATTGCAATATCGAGAGACACGCGTTGCGGCGCCACGATCGGTGGTCAACCGCAAAAACGGCGCAATTTTTCTTTTCTTCTTCGACAAAGAGGAGAGGGAGGAGAGAGAGAGAGAAGCAATCACGACACTCTCAAAGAAACGGCGAGGGAAAAAGGAGAGGTTCGCACGCAAAGCTGTGCGACGAAAGAAAGAAAGAAAGAAAGGAAAGGGGTGAAAAATTGTCACGACGGTCGATAAAATTTCGATGGAATTTCGAGAGAAGTGGAACGAGCGGAAGTTCGCGTCATTAGATCCTTCGCCGGTTCAAAGGGCAGACATCGCGCGCCCCCTCAGATCGCATCCACTCTCCTCTCGTTTTCTTTCCCGACACGTATCTCTCCACGCTCTTGGCTCGGCTCCTCCGCCCGTTTTTATTTATCTGCACCTTCGGTTGCCAAATCTTTCCACCCTTTGCCTCGTCTCCTCAGTACCTCCGACGATTCTCATCACCGTTCCATTCAGTTTTACGAACCGAACACGTCGCGTCGTGTCTCCCTCCATCTCCCTTCGTTTATCTCGATAGATTCTTTTTTCGCTTTCAACGAATTCGATATTATTGGAAAGAAAACATTTGGAAAAATGGTAATACTTCCACTTATTAATAGTATAAATAAGTTCTTCCCCTTTTTCCCCCCCAAATTCAAGATTTTATTACGTGAATCAGGTAGAAGTCTTTATTAGAGCGCGAAAAGTAAGCAACGAACGATGCTGCTTGGAGCGCTCCTCGCGACTCTTCTTGAAAACGAAAGAACGTTGTTTCAGATGGCGCGACGAGCGGTGAAGCGATTCGAATTCGGTGAGAAGTTACGGCGATCGTGGAAAAAAGGAGGGGAAGGAACTTGTTTGTCTTCGCTTTGTTAAAACTTTAATTGGATATTCACGGAGAGAACGACAATATTTTGAGACTAAACACTGGAATGAAATAATAGTAACGATGAATCTGTCTAAAAAACGATAATCGAATAATCGATCGCGTTGCTACAAAATTTCATTATACGTTGAAAATCTTCTCGTCTCGAATAATATTCTCGCAATCTTTCTTTTCCCGCGCGTCAGCGAGAATCGTCATTCGCGATTTATCTCCCTCCCCCCTTCCCGTTCTGGCACCGTTCCTTCTCGTCCCCACCTTTCACCGGTGGCTCCCGGCTCGAGCCAAAGCCCGAGCTAGGTCACGTCTCTGTTTTGTATTCCATCAACCTCGCATCCATTCCCGCGCTAAACAATAGGAGGCGCAGTCCGCTTCTCTTTCCTCCCCGAGAAACATCCCCCCCTACTTCTCAAACTTTTACCATCCCCGCCACTCCCCCCTCCACCTTCTTCGTTCGCGAGACACGAAGGTGGCGCTCTTTTTCGTCCGAACGCGAGAAACGAACGGAGAATGTCGACGTATCTTTTTCTTTCGCTTCATCACGAGAGAGTGATTCGATATACGGTTTCGTTCGATTTATCATATGAAATATTTGATCGTACGTGCAAAGCAATTATACATACGATCGTTACTCGAACGAATATTTTATACGTTTCAAGAAACGTGTGGTTGAAAATAATCCGTCGATCGTTTACGAAGGCTCTCCACGCGACTCGTTCGATTCCGCGAACGAGGCAATTAAGCCTCGGTCTTATCTTAACGATCGTAACCGTCGCAGCGAAGAAATTCGAATCCTCGAATTCGTTAGGGATAAATCACTCGGAGTTCGCTCGCTTCTGACCTAAATTTCTCCAACTTTTAACTGCCCCGACAAACTTCGCTCTTCCCGTTGCTCGATGATAACGTTACGGGATCGTTGGAGCTAGAATCGTGGCTCGGCGAGCACGCATCTACATAACACGCGCTAATAACTCGAAAGAGAAACGCGACTCGAAAGCACGAGAGATGCTTGCCGTACGATACGTTGTACTTTCCCATAATCTCGTAACTTCTCTTATCCCTATTTTCAGATTTTTATCGATATCTTATTGGAAAATAAGATAAATAAAATTTCGTCGTATTTAATGATAGGAAAAATTTTAATGATTCAAATTATTACTTACTCGATAATTTATTCAAACTCATAATCGGAAATAATTAAAACGCGGATATTAAAGTGACTTTATTCGAGACTTATTAACTAACTTTTACCTTTTCAACTCGGATCGATGCCCAACTCTGATCTTCCCTCCGTTTCCTCAAAATTTCACTCACAAAATGAAATCCATAACGAAAAAGGTCTTATATAAATGGAGGAACGAATGGCGTAGGTGGAATTTCGCGGCACAAATTGAAACTCGTGGATAAAGAAGTACAGGGAGCATGATGTCTTTGGCAAACTCGGTTCCCGTTTATCGCAGCAGGGATAAACGTTTCGTATTATTCTTATTGGACCGAGACAATTTCGATAGTGCATTGAGGATGCCCCTCCCCCCCTCACGATTTGCTGCCGATCCGCGGCATGGTAAATGCATGCCGTATGTAAATGTTGGCCGGGCTAAGGGTAATCGGAAATTTGCTGGCTCTGCTTCGAAGCCACGCCTGTTCGAGGAAGCCGAAATCTACGAGCAGCAGCAGGAGGAGGAGGATCAATCGACGAGTGACTCAATCACTCGTATATTCTAATATTAATCTTCTCGATCTGACGTGACGCGGTGAAACGATAGATCGAATGTTTGATCAGCTTTAATTTACGAAATTAAACCATTATTAAACATATCAACGCTGTCAATCGGTTAATTAATAATTTCATTGATCTAATATTTATTCAGAGGCCGCGACGATTTTATATTGATTTAGATTGAAAATCTCTTTGTAAAAGCGTTGGCTCGTTTTAAATATTCTCATTGGATACTTGTGAAATTAACGTAATTAATTAATTAGAGTTAAAGTCATCGGATAAAAAAACTACTACTACTACTTTTGAAAATTTCATCCCCGTCCATTGGATAGGATCTTTCCCCTATTAACATGGTAACAGCGGTTCGGGCAAAAAGTCTCCTCCACCTCGATGCGTAATCTTTGCGGGCCCCCAGCTACGACAGAGATCGGGCGCTTTCCAACTGCAAATGTATGCTATATGTAAATGTTATCCGAGGCGTGGGCTAATCTGGAATTTGCTCGTGGTGGTTCAGAGACAAGGCGGTAGCGAGGTAAGCTCAGGTTTATGCTACGATTGATATCCCACGGCCAAGTTATACCAGGGAATTGTCAATAACCGATACGCGCGTATTAGCGGGTATATGGATGAACGGGATGGACGGGCATCCAGTAGTAAGATTATTCGCTTATTTCACAATTCGAAAACATGTGCGAAAAATTCTCTTGGATTAATCCTTCTCTCGACTCGCAACTTTCGAAACAACCACCATTCGTCATCTCTCGTTCTCGAAAATTCTTCAAGCAAGAAAGGAGAGAAGGAAAGAAGAAATAATCTTCCAAACGAACTGTTTTCTTTTCCTTTCCGTTGGGGAAGGAAGAAGAAGGATATAACAGCGAACACGGTCACAAACTAATACACAGAAGTTAACGATAAGCTTGTTGCCCATAAAACGCAGTGGAATTTTCGTTCGAACCATCGGTTCTCGGCTCGAGTCGTGGAAAGTATGGGTGCGCGGTATTAACGAACGGTTGAGAACCACTGGGACGTGGGGAATCGGGGCGGGGGCAGGGGGGGAATTGTGCCGAGTACATTGCGAGAGAAAACGGGAGCAACGGAGGGGAAAGGACAAAGAAGAATATCTCTCTCTTTCTTTCTCCTCGGAATTTAGCTTGGGCATAAAGATAAGCATTAGGTATTACTTTACTCTCTACTCTTCTTCCATCCCTTCGACTTCGTCGTTCGTCTTATATAGAATCGTATATATAATTCTTTTATAAATCTTTATCCGGAAAGTATCGAATTTCTGAATTTCTAAGAGAATAAGGATGAAAAACAATCCAATGATATATTACGTAGCTTTCTCTTATATAAACGAAATATATATATACATATTCGTTTTTCTTCTTGTTTTTTTTCCATCGATTTTAATTTAAGTATCGAATGACAGCGATCGGTCACGCTTTAAAATGCGTGCAACCATCCACGAAGACAGTTGTACTTGTCGCGTTCGAATCGGATATTGCAGATTGATATAGTGGCCACCCCCGTGTCTTTCTCTCGTATAGAAAAAAAAAAAATAAAAAAAAAAAAAAAAACTTAAACGTAAATATTTTCACAGCGAGAATCAGTTTTCCTTTTTTTTCTTTTTTTTTTTTTTTCTCGACTCGAGCAGTCGAAAGAAGACCAACTCGCTTCGCCGTGAAATTAATTCGCTGTATCATCTTTATTTCGAAGTAAGTGAAGAAGGAGAGAAACTTTGGAAATGGATTCTTCTTCAGTGGATTATTAAACTTAAGGGGTTCCTTTTTTTTTTTTTGATTAAAATTTTTTTTTAATTAAAACTTTCCATAAAGAGAAACATATTTTTGCTTCCCTTTTACCCAAATTTCCTATTGATCCTTCGCGTTCGACAAACGATTTCATTCTACGCGTAATTTACAAAGAACGAAATTTGTTGAACATTAAACTCTATAAATGTTATGCACCAAGTATCATAACCTTATTTTTCTCTCTCTCCATCTTCATCCTTCTCTCCGTCGCCAATTTAATTTCTTTACGAAGTAATTTCGTCAATGAGAGATCAAGAAAACTTTGAAAATGATATCGCGATCCAAGACAAGAAAATCTACTCGACGTTACATTGTTCCACGCTTAATAAGATTATGCGTA